CCCCAAAACCCCAAAACCCCAAAACCCCAAAACCCCAGCAAAATGTCTGAATATTGGCAAATTGGTAAAATGGAATTAAACATAAGTGTTCGAACTGAGATCAAGACAGTCGTGTCTTGGAGAAATAGGCCTTGTAACCTTCCTACTTCTTCTCTTCCTCTTCTTTTTGCAATCTTTAATAAATCTATGAACAGGAACTATGAATTACCACATAGTGACTTACTGATGTTCTCAGTAGATGCCCATGTATAGGTAGAATGTGACTCTTGTACATCAAAGTTTAGTCAGTCCTTATCAAGCTGTATATAAGTATTTCCTTCATCATCTCTCAAGAACTTGAACACTTTATCTCTTAGCTTAAAGAAGGAATTCTCCAACCTCTTGATTTTATGTCGGAGTGATCTAGAGATAAGGTTTCTTAATTCCAGCTGGGAAGGATTAATCACTATAAACTGCTTGCATTTATAAGACAGAGTAGAGTATGTCGGACTATGATTCAACTGTGTACATGAGTTAGAACTTGTTTCACCCATAAAACTCCTTGAAACTTTGCTATTATATCTTTCTTCAGATCTAGGAGTCCTTGGAGCTCTCATCATTGATTGATAATACACTTCATTCTGGGCTTGGGTGACCTGATTATTAATTTCCTTTAATCACGAATGAAGAGCCATTTTCTTCTTCTGTAACTTCTCAATTTTTATCTGAAAACTATTGAAATAATTTCCTTGATATCTTCTCTCTTCAAGGTTTTGAAGCAGAGATCTTAGCTCTGTAGAATATTTCTCCTTTTCTTTCGCAGTGGTATCTTCATTTAGCATTAATATCTGGGCTTCAAGGAGTTTAGACTTTTTAAACATGGCAAAAATATTTTCGTTAATGTCTATCGTCAAAAGTGTGAGGTCCCTAAGCTTATCTCTGTTACGTTGAACCTTTCTTGCTTTGGCCTCGAACATTTCGTGCAACTCATCGAATTTGAAATTGTTGTCACCTAGAACGAATTATATAGATTACACACCTGAGAGGCATTTCACTTCGTGTTCAAAAGCCTTGAATTCACTGAGAAGAAACTCTTTTTCATTCTCTTTATCAGTCAGGGAGGTCTCTAGCTGAGCTATTTCCTTCTGAAACCCCTTATTATTATGCATTAAATTGATGACTCTTCTTTCCTAAGCAAGTGAAAAACTATTTTTACCTGTTTATCCTTCAAATTATGGTACCTCTCAGCTTGTTCTTCTGGGACTTTCACAGTGTTGCGTCTCAAAGAGTCGATGTAGCTCCTTCTTGTGTTATCTAAACAGATCAGAAATTTTAGAAAATTACCTAGAGAATCACAGATCATAGAATAGGACTTCTTTATGACCCCGAGTCTTTTGTTAAGGTATCATAATAAGGTTGTTTTATCTAGAATTCTATCACAGTTTAATTGATATACACCTATAAGTGTAAAGCTAAGGAGCATGCCTTCACTTGAGGATGAGCCTTCAAGCCCCAGAGTCACTTCTAAGCTCTTCTCTTCTCCTTTCATTGCGGAAATAGTGCATTCTGTGCTGTAGATTTTCTTTCTCAACACAAACTTGTGGCTGAATGATAAACATTTATATCTTACCGGATCATTTTTATATGATCAAGAGTGAGATTCTCCAAGATTTCTCTTGATTTCTCTGCACAGTCAGTTACCTTGTCATCTACAGATTGACATGACTCCTTGATTTTTGTCTTTACATCTACTTTATTGTGAAGAGATTGAGACTTTTCCTCTTTTTCTTGGTCAATTTGGTCTATTTTTGTGATGACATTCTGAAGGCTTTCGTTGAGGATCACACCATTTTTATCAAGTGAATCAATCTATGTAGAATCAAAAGCTTCCTTACTAATTTGTCATTACGTTGACCAGCCTTTTTGTGTAAATTATGGTTAGTCTCAATCTCTTGAGTGACTTTCAGTACATCCTTGAGAGTTTGTAGTGAGCTGATATAGTTCTCAGTATCTAAATCAGGTCAATTTAGTTGAACATTTAGAAATAAAGACTTTGAATACATGAAGAAAATTCAAAATAATGTAGTCTAACTGTATCTACAAAGTATACCTTCAATGCTAACTTTCTGGAACTCCTTGAGAGCTCCATCTTCATTCTCCTGTTGGATAACCATTTGTGAGTATTCCTTCTTGATCTTTATTAGTAATTTCTTCTTTTTCTTTTCATTTATCATTTTCACTAGGCGATTTCTTGTTTCCTTGAGGTTGTCCAATTCCTCATTCTCGTGCTTTGCACAGAGAATTCTTGCCTGAGACTCTCTGGAGAGGTACAAAGTGCTGAGAGAGGAATTAAACGGCTATTAGTTTATTAACAATACTAACTTTGAGTCAACAATTTGGCGGCTTTACTATTATCCTAGCCTTAGATTCCTCAAGGTGCTTCTCGAGTACTGCCCATAACCTCTGTTTGATAGTCATATTGGCAGAAGTGTCGTATTCAATAGGCATAACTATTGGGACATGCTCAGGAGGTTCTATCTTAGAGGTAGGCTTCCATTTTGCTTTTGCACGTCTATTTGAATTTACTGAAAGAGCTCGCTTCTGATGAACTTCATAATCAATAGCCTTATTCTTATCTAAAAGTTCAGAGGCCTCCTTACAGCTCTTGACAATCTTAGTTATAATAAGCTTTGTCGTGATGTTCTGCTCTAATAGGAGTTTTTCTGGGGCGAACATTTTCTTGTTTGGGAGATTCCTCTCCTTCCATCTCATGGAAAGAAATGTCAGTCATATAGCTTATCCCAGAGGCAGTATTAAGGCACTCTCCTTCCTAAAGTCTTCGGGCATGCACCTTACCTCATTGATGTTGGTATGGACCTCTCTGAGAGGAGTGTGGCTCCTGGTTTCCTTAACTATTACATATTTCTCTGAATTCCTAGGAATAAAATAAATGATTACTTAGTCATTTGTACCTGTCTCTTTGTTGTAATAGTTTGCTTTTGCTCTTGAACGGTTATATTCCTAGCTGAATCAGAGTGAGAAACAGACAAGGTTAGAGTTAAAGTAAAGACCAACTCTCGAAGAGGAAGTCTAGTAATCCAGACAGTCATAGTTCATTTTTCTGGTACAACTCTACTTTTGAAATTTCTTATGAAATTACAATATATTTAATACCATTACATATATGAGGCTTGGCTGACTAAGCTAAGTGATGGCACATAAAATTGTTCTAAGATAACTCAAGAAGAGAAGGAAAATTAGTTCTGTTGCATTTGTATGGAACCTCATTTCTACCTTTGATTTCTAACTTTAGCCTAAAATCTTCATAAAATTAAGCAGAAATCGCTATTCCTTCTTACTGGTACTGATATATCTTGAATTTCATATAAATTCTTACAACTGCGTATAAAGCTACCTCTAAAAGCTTGCAGAAATATTTAAATGTTCATATGAGGGCTACTTTACCTTGTCCGCGATTCTCCTTATTCTTAAATTCAGCCATTATTTATATATTTCAAAATATTTAAAATTTTTGGGGTTTTGGGGTTTTGGGGTTTTGGGGTTTTGGGG